TCTCTCCAGTAGATACTGGGGTGGTTGAAGGCCCCTACAAGGAGTAGGGCCTGCAAACAGGAGGTTGCTTCTATCTGTCTGCAGAGGGGCTGATCCACTAGTTTTTCCTAGTCAGGTGGCCTGTAGCAGACAGTCACTATAACATCACCTTGACTTGTCCTCTCTTTAATCCTAACCCATAAGCTCTCAGTTGGCTCCTCATCCATCCCCAGGCAGAGCTCCATGTGCTCTAGCTGCAACTCCCCCTCCCCATCTTCCCTGCCTGTTCTTCCAAAAGAGCCTGTACTCCTTGATCGCAACACTCCAATCATGGGAGTCACCCCACCACATCTCCATGATCCCAACAAGATCACAGACCTGCGACTACACACAGATCTCTAACTTATCATGTTTATTCCCCACACTGTGTGCATTAGTGTCCAGGCACTTTCGAGAGGCACATCAGTATGCTGAATTCCTGGAGAGGTCCACAATGGTGCCTTGCAGGCACTTGCTTGCTTACACACAAGCGCTGGAGGTGACATCATCTAAGGCCCATTTTGTTATCCCCTCCTGTCACATCAATGAAAGCAGGTGAGTAAACAGGTAAGAGAGTAAAAATGTCTATTCTCCACCTCAGTGTTTGAGCAGTAAGCTACTGTTAGGAATAAATCACAGATGCATACCACATATGAACCAAGCCTCAGGGCTAAGTAGATTGTTAACAGAGCTAGTTTGAGCTTCAGCACATGCTTGTCTGAAGGCAAGTGTGTCCTGACTGAATTCATCACAAGTCCTGTGAAATTTAGCAAGTGATAGACAAAAAAGTATTTTATAGCCTATATAACTATTATAAACTCAGCCATCTTTCATTGAGATTTGCCTCAGATAACTGTCTAGATCTAGGTTAAGAGTGCAGATAAATGTTCTGTCTCCTCAAGCATACAGCAGTCACTAGCAGACATTTTGTTAAGATTCTTCACACTACGGAATTTAAATTATAGTACATTAAAGTAACAATTAGTCTTTCCTGTGAATTGTAGGTACTTGCTATCAGGTTGGGAAGAAAGCTCACTGAAAGTACATGTTCTGCAAACAGGACACAATGAATTACTCCTGTGAGAGCAGAGAGGGAACAGAAACAAGCACTGACATCCTGAAACAATTGCGTAATGTCTACACACTCAATTTTTTTTTTTAAACTAAGATGAAGAACACCTTTTCTTCTCAACACATCTAGCAATACACAGAATTCTTTTTTTACAGTTCTGTTAGAAAGAGAAAAGGCCACTTTCATCTCCTCCATATTCCTGTTAGGAAGAGTCCTGAAAAGCCACAATGCAATAGTACAGAAATTTTCACTTCATTTCCATGTTGGGGAGTCACAGAATGCTCACTTGTCCTATTTAAAATGACCTTTTTTCAGTGAAGTGAGCTAATGAAATTTAGGTCATCATAAATTTAGTCAGTGAACAAGTATGCCTTTGAGACTTTTCTTGATTCAAAGACTTTTCATCATAACTCTTGATACCATGCTTATTCTTCCTATGATAATTTTAAGGTGTGTGAGAGTGATTGTGAAGGTCAATACTTAAAACCTGTGGATTTTTGTAGAATACTTAGGTAATTGTCTTTAGAAATAATAGCCACCTTCTTTTCACCTCAGACTGACATTTATCAGTATTCCTGTAGGAAGGATGATACGCAGCCCCACTGGGAACTTAAGTATGTCCTGTCAATCAGAATGCACATATTTTCTTAAACAATATTTGAGCTGTGATTTACTACAGTAAATCCTCAAAGGCAGTTTATAACTCTTTTTTTAATCTAACCGATAGTAGTTAAAAGGTCTGCCTCTCTGTATCATCCATGAACACAGACTTTATGACCATGATAGATGTGTGCATGACCACTTTCATCCATTCATATACTAATTATTTTTTTTCAAGTTCCTGGCAGAATCTTTGTATCTAAATAACAGAAGATCACTAACCCATTTTCTTGTGAGCAACTAGGCCAGCACAGACAAAACTGGCAATTTGTCACACTTTCCTTTGCTGACTGTCTGGCTATTTCAGCTACAATTTGCCAGTCTGCCTCAAATTTGACTTTTATTGCTATTTTCATGACCCAGGTCTTTGTTAAATTACACAGACGATCCTGAAAAGCTTTTAAGTAGTTTTGTTGCTTCTCTCAATAGAGAAAGCACATGGAATGCAGACTAACACTGCTGTTCTTCCCATCTGTTGATTGCTGTTGCTTGTCTCAAGGGTTATCTTGTCATAATGGTGTTTTGAGAGATGGATCTGCTCTGGGGTACATGCACTGACAGACCTCGGTTAAAATTAACTTGGTGAGATGCCGTACTAGTTTAGCAGTCCAGATTGGTTCACTGTCTCCATTTGCCCCTGTGAAAACCATCTTTCCCACATGAATGCTAGCAGGCTGTGATAAAAATCATTTAAACTTCTCTTGAATGAACACACTGAATGCTGTAACACATATATTCCAGATTTGATTTTATCTGTTGCTGTCCTCTGAAACCATTTCTCCTTCCCAGACCTTTCCTGAAATAGGCACAACAGAACTACAGGAAACAGTTCAGTAACAATCTGGTTAATATTGTGCTTAAGATAGGCTTTCTCCTTGGCCTTACATCTGAGATAACACACTTTTAGCTACAGCATCAGACTAAGTTTATGTTCAAGTCATTAGCTACCAAGACCTGAAAACTTTTCATAATTTCTTACATCAGAATGATTCTGTACCAATTCATCCTGTTTCCCAAGAGCCACTGCAACATGATGACGGTCATCTAACCGGGTTTCCTAGTAAAGATGAAAAATGGCAATGTAAATGCATTTTCTTTACTCTGTTTCCAGCAAAAACTATATAAATAATGTTTAGAATATGGTTCAGAACAACAACAGAACATCATTTAAAATACTTTAATGACATTCAAAAAATAATAGTCCTTTTTAGCAGTTTTGTTGGAGAGCTCAAGGATGCAGATACACTAAGAAGCTAGCAGGGCTGAACTGATCACTATAGGTTATCATCATCTCAGGAAATTTTAGTTATTTATATTCAAGTTGGTGACCTTAGCATTCCTTTACCAGTCCCTTTTAAGTCACAAGACATATAACCCATCTTAGCTAGCTGTTTTCCCATAAAATGAACTGTGGACTTCCGGCAGGCGTTCTGAAAAACAACGATGTAAGTGTAAACTTAAACCAACTACTCTCTCACTCTTGGCTTCAGACAGCATGTAAGACCACAACTTTAAATTTCTGACATGGCAGTCTGAGCACCGCTCTGTGTAAATACAAATCAATTTTCCTCAAACAATGTTTTTAGATATATAACTATATATTCAGTAATATAGTTTATCTGTTTAATAGTTTTGCTTAAAAGTGTTTCCTCTAGAAAGGCTAAGATTTATCCTAAACAATTAATTTCAGAAAAAAAACACTTTTACATACTGTTTCTGAATAATGTTTATTCTATAGTCAAGTCATAATCCTGTTGGCTTTTAAAAAATATATATATATATAAGGGGGGGGAGGAATAATGTTTTCCTTCCTTCTTTATCCAAACTTTTCACGTAAATTTCTGAACAAACTTTCTAAAATGGATATCAAGAATAACAAGAATTTTACCTAGAAAAATGAGTAATTTAGATATCACCATTAATCTGACAATCAGCTACTAGTCTGGATATTCCGCTGGGAGATTTGCCTGAACCTCCAATTTCTACTTCCTTGGGAAATACTCTTACTGCACTATATGATAATATAAAGAAAGCATCATGATGTCTTTTTACTTCCTCTGACAGGCTGTTGGTTGCCTCTTTTTCCCCCCTTTTAATCTGAGTAAAATGTCTTTTAAAACAATGCTGTCAGTCTGCATTAGGCTTCGCTACAGTTCATCTACTATACAGGATTTTCAAAGTTTTAAGTTGCAAGGAAACCATTTCTCTGATTCCCAAACAGTCCTGTAGATAAAAAAAGTGCCAAGATGCTCAGCTCTGATCTAATCAGCCCAGTTCAGCCAAGACAGCAGCTGCTCTAGTCATGTGTAGCAGCAGTACAACTGTAAGGTTGGGAGACTTTACTGGCAAAGATGTGAGTGTCTTGGCAGATAGGTGCTGGTGTGGGAGTAGAATTGTGTTTTTATTTTGGTCTCTTCAGCACCAAAACTGTGCCTATTTGGTAGACTTAGTAGTGAACTTTGTATCCCTCACCTGCTTAAAAACAAAACATCAAGCTGATGTTGTTTTACCTTTCTGCAAAGCGCTAGTAAGAAAACTACTATTTCAATTCTTTCTAGATTAGGAGAAATATTTAATGTACATGAGAAACACTAACAAATCTGCAGTGTAAGCGGTATTTCCCACAACTGCATGAGTTATAGGTGTACTTACTATGAAGCATTTTACTAGGTTTTCTATTCCTTTTTCTAGGGTACAAGACTGAAAATAAGTGAAGCATAAAGAATGCTACCTCAGGTTTGATGAAATCTAACTACTTGTACACGTCATGCACATTTCTATGACTTCCTCAAAAATAAAAAAAGACAATGAAAATTAGATGTTTGATCAAGTGCTGCTAAATAATTCATATAGTTCTAGGGTAGCCGCGTTTTGTGTTTGTCTAGATGGAAAAATGACTACATCCAGTTTTTAATAATTTTTCTGCCTTCTTTCATTTTTTGCATGTCCAAGAGGTTAAAGACTGATCGGAACAGAGGACACAGTACAGCACATTCAGCAGTGGCCCACATCTGTAGCCAAAAGTCTGCAAACACCTGTGTTCCAGCTTTAACCTAAACACACAGAAATTTCTCTTTGTGAATTGAACTTACGTATTACTTCTTGTTTGTGCAACAAAAAATGTACTATAAAGTCTTTTACATATTGTTAATAAAGTAATTTTTTTGTCAGCTCAAAGCTGCATTTAACAGGCAGTGCCTCTTTAGATACTGGGGACCGTTCCCCTGCAGAGACCCTGCCCAATAGACAACGAATTCAGAAGGTTCCACCTCATTTACTTCACATATCCTCTGTGGTCACAGAAGAGTTTTGGCATGTTATACTTTATTGTAAGAAACTATGCCCATCATTTTATCTTTGCTGCTTCAGAGAAATGTAAATCAAAACCAAATACGTAAGGGAAGGAGATCTTTCCTGGCCCCTACTAGCGGCCAGCAAAGGCCTTAAGGTATGGCGTTAATGAAACATACTGAAATGATAAAAACCAGCAAATCAGCTTTCTTCTCTGTTCATCTGGAGACACTGCTATGCCAGCTTATAAAATAAATCCAACTTCTTCAATGGAAACAGACGACTAAACAAAGAGAGAAAGACAACAATTGTACAGAATTCCTCTGAGGTAAAGAGCTTGTTTTGTTAAGATTCCTCTCTATAAACCAGACAACATACAATGGATCAAAATTTGGTTTTCTCCACACAGAACCAAAGTGTTACTAAAGCTGTTCAAGCTACAGGCACACTAAGACTTACAATGACCTTGTTTCAAAGGCTCAGCAGAATGATGCGTCTGGGATTCAAATCATTTTGGATTCACTCAACAACAGATAACTTCAGAGGGAACTGTACCTTCCCAGCCAGCAGCACTGACTGCTGTGTGAATTGTGTTGGATTAGCTAGTTTTAGAAGTAAAAGTTTTCATTCCTATTCATTCCTGACACCACAACAGGATTAACTTATCTTACTGAGGGTGAAAGACTCCATTACAGTTGCATACCAACAACAATTACTACATGTTTCAAATTGACTGAGGTAATCTCAGTTTGAAATTCATATTCTGGAAGTAATGTATTTGCATATAGATACACCAAGCAAATATTTGTTGTGAAGAAATGCAAACAATTATTTCTGCAGCAGTAGTGATGCCAGGTGACTTTTAATTCCCGAGTGAGGTTTAGGATAAATTGGGTGCTTCTTTTATAAATTGGTTGTATCCAAAACTGAGGAAGGGACCAAAACAGAAGTGTCTTATGTCGCATTTAAGATTCATCTTTCATATAGATTCCAGTAAATGCTATCCAGCCATTCTTCCTGGTTAACTGTACACTACTGGGACCAATAAGGAAAGAGTCATGAATACAATTAACATTTTGCAAATCAGTAATTAGGATTTTTTTTTCACATATCAGATCTGCTACAGATGTATAATTATAAACCTATGTTTATCTCTTTAAATTCTAAAACTTGTCATAATTGTTACGATCAACTTCTTTCACTTTTCTTAAAACTAACTAGTATTTCATTCCTGTCAAGGTTAAACCCAGCAGGCAGTTGAACACCACACAGCCTCCTCACTGGCAGGGCAGTATGAGAAGCTGAAGAGTCCTTGACTTAGGGTAAGCACTGTTTAGTAACAACTAAAACATCAGTGTGTTATCAACATTATTCTACTCCTAAATCCAAAACACAGCACTGTACCAGCCACTAGGAAGAAAATAACTCTGTACCAGTCAAAACCAGGACAATTCTGTAAGTTTATATTCTTCAAAGGAAGCAAATGGAGCATATAGAATTAGCCATAATAATAATCATAATCATTATCATCATCATCAGAATAATAACTCCATCCTATACTAACACTGTGACACTAATTCTGTATCACTCTTCACTGGGCTAGTAAACTTTTAATTATTACTAAACCAATTTACCTGTTTAAAATGAGGAAAGTGTGTACTGCCTATGTGAATAAAGCACAGTTAACACACATAGCAGACATACCTTAAAATTAAATTTATGTTTTTAAATGGAAGTTTTACTGTATTTTTTTCCTTCTACTCCTTCCAAAACAGTTGGAGGGAATCTGAGTAGATCTCTAGAGTACTATGTGAAAACAAGCGCCTAAAGCTAAACCGATTCATCAAGACAAAACAACAAGAAGCTGTTTCTGAGCTACTGCATTCTACTCAAACTCAAAATCTATGAGGAGTGGAGGAGGTGAAAGACACTTCGAACAAAACTAAACCCTTAGTAAAGGGACCGCAAACAGTGATCTACACAACAAGGTAGTTCATTTGGTATTGACAATGAAATAACAGAAAATTATTTTTTTAGAATTTTCTGTGAACAACATTTTATCTCCAATATGAACAGGCTCTGCTCTTGTTGTGAACAGTTACAAGGTGTCTGAACAGTGTCAATTTTGACTTGCTCTGATTCACTAATACTTCTCTTGACCTTTTAATCATGACAAGTAAAAGCAGGTAGATATTTTTCTAGTCTTTATGCTTTTAAGTTGCTTTTTTCACATTACATCGTATGTTCCAAAGGAGATTTCAGAATATTTTGTTTAATTTAAATGGGTAAAATCCCCTTTATTTCTCTCTTCTGTTTTTGGCAAACTAGATTCTTTTAAAAACTGATATAAGACAATCCAAATTATGTGATAATCGGATTTTAAACCACCTTGCTCTCTTTGATCATCTCCTATCAAAAAGATAAAAAAAGTGAGGTAATTCTATTTTTTATTTGATAGAAAAAGTTCACCCAAGCAAACTCAGCACAACAGGGAACACACAGAAAATACTATACCAGTAATATGCCTTACAGGTGATTCTTAATGACTTTCTCTTGGGTCACTCTTCCAGATTTCTCAAAATCAGTGTTTTCTGTTAACACGTTGTTTCAAGAATTTGGCTCAAGAGCAAATAATGAAACAAAAAAAGACTTTTATAAGTATGGAAATGGGCACAAAATTAAAAGAAACGGGAGAAGACAAAAAAGTAAAGTGATGCTTAATTTTAGGCTGGGGACTGGTAACTGAAAAACTAAATTTTTTTTTCCAATTTCATTTTAATAAATGTTGCTATTTAAATGAAATTATATCCCAATTGAGCTTGTATTTAAATGAAACTTGGTAATAAATCTTTTCTTTGAAATATTACAATCTGCCTTGTTAGAAGGCTGTGCTCTTGGGAAGGAGGAGGGCAAGCAGGGAAGAGGAGACATTCCTCAGACAAAAATTAAATTAAGCTTCTAGCAGTAATTACTATGTAATAAAGAAAAATCAAATAATTATAAAGCATTTAAGTAATACAGGGAGCTATCTACATCATCATCTTCAGGCTATTTTAGTCAATCAACCACAGGCATGTCATCAAAGACCAAAATTAGGAGTTCCAGAAGTCAAACGAAAGAGGTAGATGCTTCCTTGACAATGGTATGCTGTTAGCATTAATACTGTTAATGCTGTTAGCATTCTGTTACAAGGTATGCCACAGTCGTTCCTAAGATTTTCTTTTGCCAGTCTATAATTCTAACTAGTGAATTTCATAACGTACTCAATTCCTAGAGAGTATGGCAATATCAGTAAGAGGGCTGATTTAGTACGGGTAGACTTTTAAAATAACACAAACCAATGTGGCTAGAAATGCTGGAAGGAATGAACTCTGAAGAGGTCAACTTATGCTACAAGTAAATGTTACCGATACATTCATTCTTTTTTACGACATGCATACTGTACATGTAGTTTGTATACTACACAAAACAGGCATACAGCAGAGATCTGTCATTTAGACAAGCTCTACTGGAATAGTTGTCTCCAACAATATAATTCAAAACGTAAATGCATATTGGAAACTGGACGCTCTTACTGAAAAGCGCACTTGACTATTTTGTGAAATCGCAAATTACATATTCTTTGAATTGCTAGTCCGCTATATACCAGCTGCACAAACTTAGGGCAGACTGGAACAAGGTGCCCTTTACAGACAATTTTAAAGTCAATGTCTTTTGCATTTCTTCCTTTGTTTCAAGTGGACGAACGAAAGTGCCTCTGGGGTGTAGAGAAACGGTATTGTGATTTATTCAATTTTTTTTTAAAGCTTGGTCTCCTAGGATAATTAAATAATTTGAGATCATTGTAGAGAGTCATAGAATCATTTAGGTTGGAAAATAGTCTTAAGATCATCAAGTTCAACCATTAAGCTAACACTACCAAGACCACCACTAAACCATGTCCCTACCAGTTCCTTCTCTTCATACCCTCTAAATTGCATTAGATGCTATTGATCATTTCCCAGTAAATCTAACAGGACAGATGTTTTAGTGATAAGTCTCAATAACATTCAAGAAAGAAAACTAAACAAAAACCCAAACCCCAACACTCAGATAGAAGACTGAGCCCAAACTAACGTTCCAGTTAAGCAAAGGCAAGTTCTTTGCATCTCTCTATTCCCACAGACAGCAGCCGATCAGCACACTAACTCCAAACCCACAAAAGCACGTTTCTACCAGCTTGTATGGACAAAAAGTAAGAAACCTAAAGGAACTGAAGACATCTCCTACATTTCAAACATTTAACAAACACTGACTAATGGGGTTAGATAATCACTAGTCCCATTCTAGACCAACTGACGAAGAACGTTAAAATCTTAGACACTTCAGAAGTCAGGTCTGAATATGCTTCAGTGAACTTCCCGCACACCCTAGGATGAATTTCGTAGAGTGCAAGAAATATACTCCAGAAACAGAAAAAATAAAAAGCCATTATAATGAATATCTCTCTGCTGTGTTTTTTGTGATCAACAAAAAATCTGCAGATTTATGTCCTAAGTTTTGACTGATATATGTTCAATGTGGTTATACAGAAAAAAAAGTGTGAAGTTGCAATTAAAAAAATAAAACATACAATGCAACCATAGGGTGTTGAGACTGTTTACCGTTACTGAAAAAATAAATTTGAATATTTCTTACCTCAAATGTCCACTCTTCTTCTTTATCTCCATCCAGAAGCATTTTTGTCTCCTTATACACCTTCCCTATTTCCAGTTGCAATGGGGACACATTAAATTCAATTCTTTGCAAGTTAAAGCCAATTCCGACTCCAATAGCTTTTAAGAAGCTTTCCTTTAAGGCCTAAAACACAGAATAAATGTATTTTATTCATATTGGCTGTTTTCAAACTGTTCTATAAACATTACTTCTCAGCAGGCACTGCAGATGAAACAAACTTAAGACTTACACTACTGTAAATGTGAGGGTAGACTGATGCATATATCAAGAGAAAAAGTTATCAGCGTTGTTAATACCTAGGCTAACTTGATGCATTATAATAAACGTGTAACCGAAATTACCAAGTGGCACATACAGATATGAACCCTCTACCTTGTTCTGGGCACATGTTTAAAACTAGTCATAAATCCTTCTAGAAATGTCAGCTGTACTATGGTTCTCAAAGTTATTCTGACATTGAAAAATCACTAAAACATAAACGCCATTAAAATATTATGTCCACATGAACATGTAATTATAAAAAAAATACAATTTTACCATAAAGAAAATAACAGAATACATCAAAAGAAAATGTGCAGGTTATAGCATTGCAGTCTTTAAACAGGAAAAAAAGTATTACCCAATGCCGATGAAACATATCCAGTTGCATCCATTCATTACTCATAGACTTGATTACATCCCACTCTGTTTCAGTAAACTGTCGCTTCATGATGCGAAAGAAATTTGGAATTGAGCTACTGCCTATAAATTAGAAGGAGGTATTTACAGACATTTTAATAGAGTAGTAATAATAAGCAAATTAATTACCTCATGTTATTGCTCTAGAAAAAACTCGTAAGAAAAAAAATTATGAACCAAGTCTGCTCTACAATCTGAATCTATACAGTCTTGAAGCAGTGATGCTGATGATTGTTCAGGATGTAGTATGAAAAAAAACCCCCACATCCCTATAGCAGAATTACTGCATTAAAAATGGGAAATTAAAGTCATAAACATACTATGTATTTTCAGCATTCTCTAAAATGGAAAGTAATCAGTGCTGATTTTATATAAAAAAATTATATGCAGCTACAAAAGTAGCATATACAGTCTTTGACATGTGACAGCTTCATCTAGTAACTTTTTATAAAAACAGCATGCTGTTTGTCAGAATTCATCAAGCTATTCTGCCTCCTGCCTTTAGATGCTGGGATACAAAAGAAACACTTTTTAAGCACATGTAGAAATACAATCTCACAAATTTATCACAGGCATATTAAGACTTCTGGATTTATTCTGCAAGAACAATGTGGGTAGGGAGATGTCCATAATCACAGTAAGAAAGTTATCAAGGGAAAAAAAAAACCCAACACAAAAACAAAACACCCAAAACTTCAAATCCTGAGATTAAATTTAAGCACCCCCTAAAAATAAGTATAGCTGTGTAGCACTGCAGCAGCTCTTCAGGGGCTACACCACTGTTCCCCACTAGTCTAAATTTACTTTGCAGAAGACACTACAGACTGTCTGGTTATATTGAGCAATGGCATTTCTATAACAGACTAGAAACTATGGACCTCGTTACACACTTGGCTAATCACCCAGGGCTTATATCATTAATCAGCATACTATGCAATCTGTTCAACAGAGCTTGCAGCTAGCTAAATAGACAATGGCAGAAAGCAATCTATTTTCTTTAGCAGGGATAATAAAAATCCAGATAGAGACAATTCTACACATCGAGACAAACTTTTGCATAGCTTATGTAATGTTCTTATTAAAGAGAAAATATTAGTCATATTCAATCCAAAACAGTTTCCTCTCCCAAAACCATATCACTTTTAAGAACCCATCACTAAATAATTGCTTAACGAAGATGAAGATTCTAACCCTAGCTCTGCCACTGATTCTGTGAGTGACTACAGACACAGAACCTTCCTTCTCTACACTAATGTTCCCCATCTTAAACCAGAGATAAGGGTATTAACCCTTCTCTATGAAGTGGTTTTCTTCTACAGATATCTATGCACTATATAAAAACAGGTATTGGATGCAGTAATAATTGATCTGAATGAACTAATGTCACGCTAAAGCACACATTCAGGTTTGCTGACAATTTCCAGATCATATCGCAAAGTGTAATCTGACATACACATCACACAAGACATGGCAGTGACATTTCAGAGATGCCCTCTATTTCATTTATAGACTAAAGTGAAGAAAACATCTTAAGACAGAAATTTTGTTGACAGTTGCAGTTGTCAGCTAATGGAATGATCCAGAACAACCTAAGGACAGAACTAACCTTCCTCTCTGTAGAAAATGATGATACTGAAAAAGAAAAGCAACCACAGTACCAAGTATGCTTTGATGGGTTACCAAGACAAATGAAATATGAATCTACTTAGACAATCCAACTTCCCTAAAACAATGAAAAATAACAAAAATATTTGTAGAACTTGGAGAAAGGTTATTGCCTTTCATCCTCTGAGTTTATACGGCTCATTTTATGACCAAATAACTGTGTTAACACATGCTCCAAACAATTCACTTCTTTTTTTCCTTTCTCTTCTTCTCTCAAGTATTTAAGACAACAGTGGTGAGACACCACCCTCTTCAGGTGATTCAAACTACAAAACATTCAAGCACTTCCTGGTGTACCCTTCCTCCTCCACTACTTTCAAAGAGTTCTCTTGCTTTCAATAACCCAGGGCTATTCACACTACCAGAGCAGACTATCCAAATCCAAGACTATCCACACTACATTACCTTCAGCACCTAGACATACAATGCCTCCTGCACTGTCAGTCCTTCTACCATCCAAACCTTAACACACATGGTGAATACACTCGATACTTACAACTGTTTAGTACACCAACTGTGTATCAAATCCATCTGCTAATGCCTTTTCACTCCTTACTCCTTTTTTGTCCTAGATTTCTTCAACTGCTCAGCTACCCTTTTCAACACTTACGTTCAGATTTACACAGTACTTTCCCCTCCACTCCAGCCATCCGTCACAGCCCTCCTCTGAAAAGCTCCAGCACCGCTTTCTCCTGAACTGCCCTCCTCTCCTGTTGCCTTCTTAACACAGTACAGTTGCTTCACTCTGAGGAACTGATCAGATCAGAGCACCCAGAACTATTATTCTCCACAAATTACTAGCAGTACCACAGCCTGCCTAGTCCATTTCCCCATATTTGCTTCAATATCTGAGAAAGAGAGATTCACAGAACCATGGAAAAATTTATGTTGGAAAGGACCTCTGGAGACCAACTGGTCCAACCTTCTGCTGAAAACAGAGCCTTATGTTAGGTTACCCAGGGCCCTCTCAAGCAAAGTCTTTCACCCCTTCTCTGGGTAATTTATTCCAGTGTTTTACTGTTCTCATGGTGAAGAATTGTTCTGAGACAGAATTCCCATTGAAGCAACCTGAGCCTTTTGCCCTGTTCCTCTACACCCTCATGAAGACAGCTACATGCATTTTCTCTACAGCTACCTTTTGGGTAGACTATGTTTAGATTCCCCTCCTCAGAACTTCCCCCTCTTCAGGCTCAACAACCCAGCTCCATCAACATTTCTACATAGGTCAAGATCCCCAATCCTCTAATCACCTTGGTGGCACTTCACTAAACTCTCTTCAATGTTCCCAGGTCTCTCATGACCTGGGGGATGAAAACTAGAAGCAGTGAAAAGTTTTCTTTCAGATGCTACCTTTTTTGTATTTATTTTGAGACGAAAAAAAAAGCCTCAAATGTACTTGCCACAATTTACAAAAACTTCTCTTTGAAAGAATGGGAACAAGTCCCATATATCAATTATTCAGGTAGTTTTAAATGTGCCTTTCTAAATTTCCTCCCATTTGCCAACTTGTTTCAGAAATAAACTCACCTATCAACAATTATACAAGCCCTTGGACTTATTTCTGTGACCAGTTCAACTCATTAATAATCCAAGATCTAGTTTACAAAGTAATTAAATTTCATTAAAAATATACCAAAGAGCTTTCATGCCAAATAATTCCATTATGCATACTTCGGAGCTAACAGTTATTTTGGGTACAATTTTAGATTACACACGGTATAGTATACAGATGATCATTAGAGATATAGGTCAAGACAGGGTACTAGGGTCCTCTGCTGAGCAACTGAGCTTCCTATTCTGATGATAACTTTCTAAGACCGTCTTACGTATTTTTCCTCCTGAGTTTATTGCCTGTATTTTTCTCTCACAGAAGTTTAGGAAAGGGCTAAACATTTTTGGTAATCTCAAAACCTAGTCTGTAAAATTTAAGTGAAGAAAGAAAAAATGTGCCTCAATATTGTAATGATATTCGTGAAGCCACAGTATTTTCTACAAGGAAAATATAAAGATCACAGAATAGAAAAGAAACTGGAATGCAAGTTGCAACTCTGATAGGAAATAAAGGCAAGACAAAGAAATATTTACAGTGGTTATCAACAAGACATATGAAACTATTCTTAGAAGTACTTTTAAAAGTTTCAGAGGATCTTCTTCAAGACTTGCAAAGTATTCACCACAAAAATGACGTAACATGATAAACATTCTCATAAACATAGTCAGGTTTGGGCTTTATCTTCAGACTTTTGTTAACTAACTAAAAACTGTGAACTTAGCGTCTGCACTTCACTGTGCAGTGATTTCTTCTTCTCTACAAGATGATACCAATTTTCTAAGAGAAATTTGGCAGCAGTGTACATATGTGTGTTTATGCAGGTGGAATTCTGGTAGATAAATGCTCTAAAAATCCTTAATGCATGCAAATTTCTGTATTTTTCTAAGAGTAAATTCTAAGAAAATTCTGTAAGAAATATCTATGAACGGCAGAAACAAGATAAAGATTGACAGTAAAAACTTGAAAAATAGATTCTCTGAAGGAACAAATGCTTTTATTGTAATGCACACATATAATACAAATACTTCCAGAAATATTTTCTGTCTTTATGTTTTCAATGATCAACGGTAAGGCCAGACACTCATTGAAACTTACGTAATTGTACTACTGTTTCTTATTTAACTTGCAGCAGTAAAGAAAAAAAGATTTGTTCAAGATAAGTCTACACAGGTTGTAGAAAACTGCACATCTGATCCATCTGTGCTTCTAAACATCCATGCATTAACAAGCTCCAGAGCAGGCACCACACAGCTGGGTTCACACAGTAGCAAGTCCTTGCTCATATAATCCAGCACTCCTTTCCCAGTGCTGAGGGAAACTTAAATGTTGAGCTAAAAAATTAGCTGGGGATACAACTATGTGGAAAAACTTAACTGAAATGCTCAAAACTGCATTTCAAATATTCCTTCTTATAAGTCCTATTTACAGCTTCTGAAGAATCTGAATTTAGATTCTGATTCCAATAAATCCAATATACTTAATCTTGACCATCTCAGTGACAAAGTGAGATTCCTGTAACACACAACGTGTGCACTTCAGAAAAAAATATTTATCTATATAAATTACTTATTTATTTGGTGAGCATCAGGAAATTGCATAATATTTATCTCATTGGTCAAGCATCTGACTAGGTGGGGGTTCATCACTGAAATGGAATAAATTCAATTTTGTGATTTCAGGAACACATAAGAGAGATAAGACATGTTTTCATATGAGATTTCAAAAATAAATGGAGTTGGAAGCAGAGAAAAACAGGAAGTTTGCTCCACAGATGGCTTACGATTAATGGGAAAAGATGCATATCCCCATCAACTATTAAAACTCTTTGAAAGAACAGTCACTCAGC